GATTTAAAAGATAATATGATTAAACGCCAAAAGGTTAGGAACAAAAACAAAATGGATAGATTACCTCAAAAAAAAACACTCCCAAAAAAAAAAAATATCCATCCTTGCGCAGGGGGATTGCCAACCAGCTCTCCTTCTTCACACCGAATTTAGACTCATAGAGTCTATGCCTACAGCATCTATACCCATCAGATTATATATAAATAAAATACTATGCTAACAAAAGAAACTAAAAACGCAAACGCAAATCTACGCTAACAGCAAGAGATGGGTTATTGCAACGAGAACAACCCTTAAATTAATAGCCAAGTTTAAATGCTAATTTCCCTTTAATTTTTTGTGGCGAGCCAGAGCACACAGGTTGATTTACAGCAAATCAAAATATGATACTAGATTTAATTTTAATATTTTGGATGAGACGATTCGCCCAATTTTATAAATATGCAGTTAGTTAGATATATATTGGCTATTCTTCACTAGAATATTTGCGTTAACTGGTCAGATTTACACAATTTGTTCACTATACAAGAATCAACTATTTATAGCTAGCATTTAAGCACATAAAATTCAGGTATTTTGATGTGCTAATATTAAACGCTGTATACTTTATTTAGCATGTGAATTGTTATTACATATCCATACTTTCTATCACATTTAACCGATAATGGATTGTTAAATAAGTTGCACATTCTAGTGGGTTTTTTTTTGCTATAACTGAGATATTATTATTTGTCTCTAAAAGCGAATTTGGCGTATTTTATATCTTATAACTCGCACTTGATTAGAAACAAACTGTATCAGTGATCATTTAAGCTTGATTTTTTAAAGATTTTACAATTATAGTAACATTTATTTATATCTTATTTTGAAGGTATATATATATGTGCTTCAAGTTTTTTTTATAAAAAAGTACAATAATTTATTTTTAATTTTAAACCAAAGCCAAATATATGTTATTCAAATCAAAAAATAGGAATACTTTTTAAATATTAATATATATATTACCAAGTATGTTGATTTTATAATAAAACGCATAATTTTATATATTTTATAAATAAGATAGTAAAAGTCATACAATGAAATTAAAATATCGTGTTTTAGTCTTCTTTTATTCCATTTATTCGAGCAAAACCTTTTATATAATAATTTTATATTTGTATTTAAAATTTTTTTTAAAATCGTATTGAGAATCGCTTGACGTGAATAATATTGATTTTTTTAAAATCCATTAAAATCTATCTTGTTTATTATATTGTATCTGAAAATTTTAAATTTTGCTCTTGTTTAGCAAAATATCTCAATTCTCTATTATAAAATATAGAGTTTTAATACAAATAAAATAATAAATTGGCAGAAAAAAGCAAAAAACAATCTAGCCACAGTTCTTCAAAAAAATATTTCTTCAAGCTAAAAGAATAAAATCAAGTAATTATAACCAGCTTACATGTAAGTATCTTTACAAGACCCAAAAATAATACAGCTCATTAAAGCTTATAGATCTCCTACAAGTTCAGAAATTAATACACTTAGACTATTGCTATTTAAAATATCATTCGAGTTATGTTTTTGAATTTGCTCAGCCAAATGTAAAATTTTTAAAGAATTTGCAGTAGCTTGTCTATTCAGTTCTAGCCTTTTCCTCTAAAAGTACAACATTATTTTAAAAAAAGATTTCAAGTTAAAGCACATTTAAAGCTGTAGCATAGACAATAAATCACCTCGCCCCGAACATCAAACTCAAACTCCCTTAGTTTGTTTATTGCCTTTTTATAAAACTCTGTGTTGTTGATTAGTTCACATAATGATTTTAATATATTAATAAAATCTCTATTTAAACGATTAAATAATTCTTTTTAAAAATTAAGGGTTTATGTTTTACAAAAAATTAAAAAATGGAAATTTACCGTTGAAATTTATGTGGAATTGCAATATTTTCGCGCAATGTAGGCTCTTTTGATTTTACTACCAAATAATGCCAATTTTCCACCACTGCAGTCATGTGTTTTGCAAATTTATTTAGAATTTTCAACTTTTCTTGAACAACATCTTGATCCAATTCCTGTTTATATGAGTTCTCAACATGATTCTGATATTTCCCCTATATAAAAAACCAAGAATGTAAAGTTATTTATAAAAGCGTTTATACAATTATAATATTACTCTAATTTCTAAGAGTCTGTTATCAAGGTCTTCTCGAGAATTCGAAACATATTTCATTATATTTTCATATTCTTTGTTTTCGTATGCCGAGTTATTCTTGTTTTTTTTTTTTAAAAAAATTAAAAAGAATAAATATAAAGCAAAAAACTTGTTTGCGTATTGTTATTGAATATAGTGATTTGAGAGATTACCGGTGCTACTTCAAGGCCAATTTGAGCGGCTAAATCAACTTTTGTAAAAATATTATCATTAAAGCTATCAGAACTTGACTCCATTAATGCTTCCTTTGTTATTTTAGTGCTCATTCTATATATTTAATAGAATAAAATTATTGCGATTAGTTTGTAAAAGTACTTTTAATAAATATTAGAAGAATCATAAGGCCATACAAAAACTATACAAGTGAAATTTGTAATTGTGTTTAGATACACACGATGGTAATTATGAGAATATTGCAAGTAGGATAAAAAGGGAACGTCTTTATGTATTTGATAAGCTATGTAATTAAACATCTATATGTATATGAAAAAATGAAATAGTTTGGGCCTGAAAAGCAGCAATTGTATTGGGCACCTAAAATTGGAAAGTCCAATTGAAACAAAATCAGCTAATAAAACGGCAAAAAAAACATATACAAGACTTTTTACATTAATCTTTTGATGTTTTTGGTGCTCATATTTATTTCACCAAACTAACTATTTCTGTATTATGGCTTAAATCTGCACTTTTCTTGCTCTTATTTTTGATAAACAACAGTTTTTAAATTTTATTTGCAAGAGTTTATGAATAAATACTAATTTATCTAGATTATAAAATGTAATTGCAAATTATACTATCCATTGAGCCTATTTCCTGAACCCAAAGCCGCGGAGGAACGGGGAACTAGATTTTTTTTTATAGTTTTTTTTAGTTATTATAGTATGTAACTTGTCTTTATAAAATAAACCATTCTTGCAAAAAAAAAATTAAGCTTTCTCTGACTCGCCAAAATCTCGGAGCAAGGCGGACAATGGTTCGGAAAAGAATTCATATTGCCCAAAAATATCTCAAATTACATGTACATTATTAACCAGCTATTTTCAAAGTGCAGTATTTACTTTATTACTACAATTTCTGATTTCAAGATAATTGATAATAAATTAAACAAAAAACCCCAATACTTTAAATCGCGGTATTTGCCAGCTTTGCTAAAAATAATATACGGTTCGGTGACCATAGCGGCTCAGATAAAAATTTACTAATAGTTTTTATTTATATTAGTTTACTAATAGTAGTATAGGGATATAAGAGATTGTATTTTACCATATTTAAAGTCAAAAAATATCGAAAAGTATTTATACTCGCCGAGTTGTTAACAATGGATATTATTAAAAGCCAAAAAAACCACAATTTTTTTTACGAATAGCTGATTATTTCGGCAAATATAACAATAAAATATTTTTAATCGATTATAGTATATTAATAACTTGCTTAACATCACTGGTAACAAAATTTAAAAGATTCTTTTTTACCTTAATATAGTAAAGAATCAATTATTAACCAAAACAAAACTTCAAGTATAAATTTGGAAAAGAAAGACTTTAAAATGTTGACATACTTTTTGTTTTTCATAAACATTTTATATACTTGTGCTATTTTAAAATGCAGTAAAAAGATAAAGCCATTTATAATAATTTGCAAGAATGGAGTTAGATTAATATTAGAGTTATCAAAATTGGTAATAATGCCCAATTCGAAAAATATCAAATGATTGGTAATAAAAAAAAATAATAAATAGTAGTATATATTATAGAGGACCAGTTTCCTCATACAAGTTGTTTAAGATTTCGATGTAGTGTTTTTTGGCTTCAATACGTTTAAGTTTGAAAGATGGAGAGAGTAAAGTTCCAATTTCAAAAGGAACAGGTTCCAAGAAGACATTTTTAATTTGCTCAAAACCACGTAGACTATTTTCCTTGCCCCAAGCTTGCAAGTTTTTGACTAGCATTTGGCGGACAGCAGAGTCTTTGCAGAGAGTAGCAAGAGGAAGAGAAGTGTCAATGTCGCTATTGCTTTTTTTAAGGAAAGAAATAAACATTTCCTCATCAGGAACAACAACACCAACGAGATATGATTTTAGGGAATCGCCATAAATATAAACTTGGGCAACAAGAGGGTTATTGATGTATACATTCTCAATGCGTTCTGGAGCAACATATTCACCTTGAGAAAGTTTAAACAAATTCTTTTTTCTATCAATGATTCTAAGGCAACCATTATCGTCAAAAACACCAATATCACCAGTGTGGCACCAACCATCTTCATCAATAGTTTCAGCGGTTCTATCGGGTTGTTTGTAGTATTCTTTAAAAATACCATTACCGAAAACACAAACCTCGCCTCTTGGGAAAGGCTTGTCAGTAGTTAGATAATCAAGTTCAGGAACATCAACCAATTTGATCATAGAGTTAGGAAAAGGAACACCAACAGTTCCA